ATAGGTTAAAACTAATTGCAACATAAGTTGCAACATTAAAAGTTGCAACATATTAATTACAGTTCCCATCTTTAGTTGAGATAAATCAGGTAAGAGATAAAAAGACCGTTCCTCATAAACACTAAAGAAAAGAATGACAAAAGAAAGGTTAAACAGTTTGTAGTGATAAATTAACCAATCAGACTGAGTAATAATATATACTATCATTCTAGAACACCAGATTGTTCTCTAACGCTTGTGGATAGATTTATTTATTATTTTTGAATATTATATACTATAATAAAAAATGATGATTGTGAATTGTGTAGTCGAAGAAAATATTCCTATTGATACATCAATTGATACATCCACTGATGTAAATTGCATTAGCTAAAAACATATTGGTGAATTAGAAATTACATATCACAGTGAAAGTAATAGCATTGTAACTCCGGATGCATCCTATTCTATATTAGAAAAGGTCAATCTGCATATTAGTTTTGAAAATGGCGAGAAGCATAAAAGCACATTTGTTGAATTTATGGTTCTTAGGCCAGATTGGCCAGGTTCTGATTTAACTTTAGGAATGCTATGGTTACGAAAAAATAGTGCAACTTTGGATATATGTAATTCAAAACTATTATTAGACGATAATTTTGTGATCCTATTCGAAAAAGTAGACTATATTTCGACATTATCTGATAATCAGATTTGAGCTATAACTGATTTTTCCAACCAATAGTCCAGAGTAGTAATCATCAGCTCAGAAGATTTTTTCTTATTGAAAGATATTCTAACCATATAAAAATGCATACAGTTAATTTACTAGAATAACTTCTGTCAGAACTAATACTATTCATTCTAAAGTATCTTCTAGAATGGGACCTAAAAAATTCTCGCAGTATAAATGATATATGGAAAAGAGAGGCGAATCATGTATTGTCTGAGAGAATAAAATTTCAAATGTGAGGATTGGCTCAAGGTAATTATACGATAAAGGAATTTTATTTGAAATTGAAAGAGTGTAATTTAAGTTATAACTACCCAGAATGGTTTCTTAAAAATCAATTTCTCAAAGGATTATCACTTGAGAATACATTTAAAGTTCTTATAAATAGTTTACAGGTATTTGCATTAGATAGGATAGTGGAAAGGCTTAGTTTGGAATAGCGATCTACCAGCTCAGCTAATTTATTTTTCAATTAAAAATATGGTAACTATAAAAACTAATCTATTATAAAAATAGATAGCCTGTTTTTTAAAGGAAACGATACACTTGATTGGCTGGATTAAACATTTCCTTCAACTTCACTGACGTTAAAACCTGAAAAGGCTAAAGATAGCCTAACACCAGTTCAAGATAACTAATTACTAAATGAATTTTTTTGAGGTATATAAGGAATATAAGGCATATACTCCATTAACAGGTCCAAACTTATGCAAAGCAGAGATGAAAAAAGGTTTTTTCAGAGGCCTCAATCAAGAGGCAAAGATCAAGTTTGCCCATGAGAAACCTTCTGATCCTTTCAAAAGGTTATGTGAAATTTTAGTTAAATTGGATGTTCTACTTTATTTGAAATTGCAGATATTGACCAGTAGTGATCTGAATTTGATCTGATCTGAAGTGATCTAATGTCTTGAGAACAGGCAAGAGAATATCTGTCTTACTTTCCCATTTAGCAGATCTGATCTGAATCTGGTTTTCTCAGACCACTACTGACTTGCTAATTTATTTTATTTTTCATTTGAAGATACAATATATAATACAGACTATTTATGACGCATACAAGTGTTTTAAATATAGCAGAAATATTAGAACAGGTTTTATATTTTCTAGCAAAAGATAAATCCCTCTACCTCACTTTATTCGTATCCCGATTGTGGTATAGATGCAGTGCTCTTATTTTATGGAAACACATCGAGCTAAAGAGGAGTAATGCACAAAAAAAATTTATGAAAATAATACGTGAGGAGCAGAAGTCAGTTTATTGCTCGATTGTAATTCATCTAAAAATTCCAGATTACCATCTTTCAGATAAAAAATTTAAAAGCATTGTAGGCCTGTTCTCAAATATAGTACATTTAAATTTACATCATAGTGTGAGATTTAATGATAAAACATTAAACTGAATAGCAGAATCATATCCCAATCTGAAGTACCTCAACTTGGGAAGATATGATGGTAATAGATTAATAACTGATAAAGGTCTATATGCAATCGTGGATTCATGCTATAAATTAGAATATCTGAATATTTCTAGTCGCAAAGAATTTTCTGAAATAGTGATTTGGAATGTTATTGATTCTTGTCTGAGGATTCAAGAGTTCATTATTTACAAATGTAAAATATCCAATATAACTATCAAGGAAATTGAATTATATCTTAAAATAAAATATATTAATCCAGGTACCGCTACCCAATGTTTGGAAAAAATTGGCTGAAGTCAGATATGTTTTTCTAGCTCTTCTTCTAGAGGTTAATTTATTTTTTTGATTAAAAATACAGAGTATATTATTTATGTCGCAATCAAGCATTTTTATTATATCAGAACTATTAGAACAGATTTTACTTTTTTAGCGATAGATAAATCTCTCTATCCCACTCTATTTGTTTCCCGATTATGATACAGATGCGGTGTCCCTATCCTATGGAAACATATTGAGCTAAAGGGAAAAGACTTATATCCTGGACAATCTCTTCCAAATGATTATAATTACTGTGTAAAGAATCGTTCTCGATTTAATAAATTCATAAGAATAGAACATGCAAAGGATCTCTCTCAATTAAAAAAATTTATAATATTAGTATGTGGAAAGCAAACGCCAGTTTATTGCTCAAATATAACTCATCTCGAAATATTGAATTACCATTCACTTTCAGATAAAAAAATCATAAGCATTGTATATTCATGTCCAAATATAACCCATTTGAGTTTCATAAATAGCATGGGATTTAGTAATAGAGCATTAGAACTGATAGCAGGTTCATACCCGAATCTGAAGTATCTCAATCTGTGTAATGATCAGTCAGGTGGCTTTAGAAGCTTTCGTGCTCGAGAAGTGGATGATGAAGGTCTAACTGCAATCGCAGATTCATGTCATAAATTGAAATGTCTAAATATTTCTAATCGCACAGAGTTTTCTGAAATATTAATTTGTAATGTTATTTGTTTTTGTCCAAAACTCTAACAACTTGATCTTAGCTATTATAAAATTACTGATATAACTATCGAAGAAATTGCTAAATCAAGTCTTAATTTAAAATATCTAAATCAGAAAGGGTGTTTTAAAATTAGCAAAGAAGTTATAGATCAGCTAAATCCACATATCTATATCAAGAATTACTAGGATCCGAATGATATTCAAGTTGAAATAGAGCGAGTGGTAGAGCTAATATCAACACAACCTTCAGTTGCTATTAGCACTCAGTTTCACCAGACATTCTGACAACCTAATTTCAATATATTTATGACAGTTGACTCTGGTGCTGATCACTTCATACTATAAACAGACAAGCACTAAGAAATTATTTTGATAGAATACTAGCTGATTGAGCCAGGATAGTGGAATTCTACTGATCTAATTAATCCGGAGTAGTGATCACTAGCTTAGAAGAATTTTTTTCGCATCTAGATATATCTTGTGTAAGAAAAAAATATAAATTAGCTAATCTGTTCTAAACATTGGCACTGGCTGGCACTAGATGGATTTTTGATGAATATTTCATGCAATTGTTGAAGAGAGACCTTTGGGAATAATGGTAGCCCCTCTCCAGTAAAATAAAACATTTTTACTCCTCTATCGATGAATTTTTATATTAATACATTTGGAATATCTTCTAAGTGGCTATAGTATTCCTCAAACTTTTGAAAATATTCTCTTGCAGTTTTATCGGTCTCTTCTGCTATTTCTTGATTAGTGTAGCCAACAATATTAAGTTTTCTTGAATTGCTATTATATCCTCTTCTAAATACATAAGCAAATTAAATATCTCCTTTAATGAAATATCTGTAAGAGCCTCATTACTTTGATATTCCACTTCTAGAATAGGATTACCATCAATGTTGAGATTCTTCTGTATTAGCATTAAATTTCCTACCAATTCTAACAACAGTTCATATGAATCAGCAAGTGTTTTCCCTATGAGCTCAGAATCTGGAGGCACTACTAATTTATTTGCATTGCCATTGATACTGAGTCCAGAATACAGATCATCATTCCAGAATAGTAATCTTCAGTTCGAAAGATTTTTTACTGAGCCAATTCACAATCATTTTTGAATTCATTCTAAGATAAAGAGGATGGTTTGAGATCGATTAATGAACTATCTTTGACATTAAACATATGAGATAATCCTTTCTGATGTTACTCTTTCTTCTATATAGATTAAATGAATGTAATGATATAATTCTTAACTTGATAGAATAGTTTACAAAAGTACTTACATCACTTCTACGAGAATTGATAATTTTTCTTTTCTTTTCTGACTTGCCTTTTTCTGGATCAAGACTAACCTTCCAATTCTCACGATGATGATGATGTAACTGTTGTAAAACCCACTTCAGCTCTGTGTCTTTGTATAGAAATCTTCCCTTCATAACTTTATCAATATCCTTCATTATATGTTGTATAACATGTTAGGTGATATCTATTCATCTTTTGATATGATCTAGTTGTAACGTATCGTCAAGGCCGCTAAGAACCTGCACTACTTCATCCTTATTTCAAAAAAAAACACAATAATTAAAAAACAATAATTATAGTAAAAAAATAATAACTTACATGAAAACTCTTATATTGCTCTTTGTTCATATCTTCAAAAACATTTCTAGCATGACGATAGCCAGCTTCTGATGTTGGAATTACTGATATTCTTCTTCGATTATATTGAGTCAATTGAAACAACTCATTCAGTTCCTATTGAGAGGCTGCCTTAATATTTCAAACCTCTTCTGTAAGTATGCTGATGGCTCTATTTAGAGCCTTGATTACTGTAAATTAATATCATTAACAGTAAAAATATATTCTTTTTTAAAAAATATCAACTAAACCATATCATTATCATATTCTATTAACAAACAACTATTGCTAAATCTTCTCGAATCCATGATGATTGATGAACGATCATTATCATGACTATATATGAAGTCAAAATGAAAATCCAAAAAGTTGAAATATTTCGACTTTGGAGGTCAAAGTCGAAATAAAAAGTCAAAATAGTCGAAATTACGTCATATCACATGATTTTTTATATATAGAAAAAACAAAAAAAAACAAAAGATATACGATCT